TCAGGGAGTCTCGGAGCGATATTGTCATCAGTGTACTGTTGTGGTCATGACTGGCTCTTGTTCTTCAACCTTCAGCAATCCCATCAAAAGGATCCTCTGAGAGACCAGGCAAAGTGGACAGCTGCTTAATTTCCTCCACCTTCAAAGCAGCAATACCAAAAGCCCACTGGTACCCTCTTGGGTCTTTGAAGTACCCTCTCCTGAGGTAGTCTATGCCAAGGATGCATGGAGCCTCTGGGCCAGTCACAGTAGGGTGCTTTTGCCAGTTCTTCTCAGGCTGATGATGGAAGGGGTGAGATTGTCTTTGAAATTGCTGAGCTGATGAGTTACTTTATCCACTGTTGGTGGTACAGCTTCACTCCATGTCATTGAGGACAATGAGTAGGCATATGATGATGGTACACTCCGTGTAAGTTTCCACCACCTGGGTCATGTACATTTGACTTCATCTGAATCTACTGGTGCATTCTCAGCATTCGGCCTACAACAGATCATCTCTACAATGGCTGGTTCCCTCAGGGACTGGGTGCCTCTCTCTGTCATGGTCCACTTGGCTGAGTGACACATAATATTGTCATTGTAGGGATCTTTCTTTCACAGCTGTTAAGATCTGCCTCCAAAGGCTCAGGGCTCATTTCTCTTTCCTCCTGCTTATAGGAGCAACTGATTCTGGCACAGATTGGTCCTTTGGTTTAGCTGCAGTGTGTGCCACTGTGATTGGAGTGGCTGCAGTGTCTGCCACTAGGGCTGGAGTGGCTGCAGAGTCTGTCACCACAGTTGGAGTGGCTGCAGTGTCTGTCACCAGGGTTGGTGTAGCTGCTGTGCTTGGGGGTTGAGGAGCTGTGCTGTCTGTTGCTTTGCATCAGATCCAGAGACATTTTTTCCCAGAGGCACTCTGTAGGTGCAGGCCAAGCCCCAGCACATCATGGTAATTTGTCCTTTTCTGGTATGGCCAGGACAACAGCACACTTCATCTGACTGTTCTGCTATTTTTTCCAGATTTTGCACTTGTTCAGGGGTGAAATTCCAAAGCACTGGAAGGGCCCACTGGCCCAGGTGCTTGCCCATAAGATCCCCACACTCCCATAAGACCCTGCCACTCATGACTGTCCAGCCTTGGGAAAAATCTCTTGGTGGTCCTCTTAGATCATCATTCAACTTCAGACAAGACCCAAGCCTAACCCTGCTTAACTTTCAAGATCAGATGAAATAGGCATTCCCTAGTTGGTATGGCCATGGGTAAAACACATGCTGTATTTGTGGCAACGTGCTGATTCCCAGCATAAGCAGCAGGCAGGTTTCAAGGGTATTCAAAGGCCATCCAAATCCTTTAGAATTCTCAAATGCTGCTGTAAATATCCTGGTGGGGGAGCAGAGGGCGTGAGGGAATGTCTCCTTCATAGGTTGACCCCCCAAGGAGGAAAAAAAAGATGTGTAATTGCTAAAAATTCCCATTATATAAGTGATGACCATGCTGAGAACGCATGCCAGACCAGTTCCATGATCAATGATTCTATTGTATTATAAGTCATTACCAGAAAGTACAGTGAAACAAGAACCTTAGCCCAGGCCCCAGAGACAACAAACACTAAAACAGCAAAAACTGTCTGCACATAAGGCATGACATGCTGAAACTCTGAGAGCAAGCACAACTTTCAGAACAAACAAATCAACATTGCGATGAGTGACTATTAATCCAAAATGATGAATGCTTATCACAAATGCAGTTGAACACATTCTGGTCAGATCTGTTGTTATCTCAACCCTTCGAGCCACAGGTTGGGCACCAAAAAGAACTGTCATGGTTAAAGCCCAGCCGGTAACCCAGGACCATGCAGCCACTTGCTCACTCTCTCCACCCCTTCTTCCCCTCTGCTCCTGGAGGGATGGGGAGGAGAATGGAAAGAAATCCCATGGGTTGAGAACTGTCCAGTAACTAAGGTATAACACAAAACCACTACTACTGCTAGTGCCAATAATAATAATGATAACGGAAATAACAAGGGGAGAGAATATAAACCTGAAAGGGCAAAAGGAAAAGAAAACGATAAACGCAAGTGATTCACAATACAATTGCTCACAACCCCTGACCACTACCCGGCCCAACTCGGGCAGTGATCTGGCCCTTCTGGGTAACTGCCCCCAGTTTATATACTGGGTATGACACGCTGTGGTATGGAATACTCCTTTGGCCAGTTTGAGTCAGGTGTCCTGTCTCTGCTTCCTCACAGGTTCTTGTGCCCCTTCTCTCTGGCAGAGCATGAGAGACTGAAAAGTCTTTAATCAGAGTAAGCATTGCTTAGCAGCAACTGAAAACACTGGCGTATTATCAACACTGTTCTCAGACTAAAGATGAACACACACCACTGCACCAGCTACAAAGAAGGAGAAAAATGACTGTTACAGCTGAACCGACGACACCTGAACTGGACACAGACTCAACTAGTGTCTTGTTCAGCACCAGGGGCACTTTTTGCTTTGGAAGTGCAAACAGTGAGATGTTGCCCCTGCTCTGCTGTGAGTGGACATTGCATTCACAAGAGAAAGATGACTTAATGAAAATTGGTTTCATAATTTCTTGTCTCACAGTTCCCACTGAAATTATTTCACCCAGAAATAAGACTGTTAAGCATCACTGAGCAGAAAATAAAGCATTCAGCATAACCTTGCAGCCTGTTGTTGCTGACCTGAGCCCGAGGGTGGGAAGCCTGTCTTCATATGGGAGGTGCTCCAACCCCACTGATCATCCCCATGGCTCTCCTCTGGACTTGTTGCAACAGTTCCATATCCTGTTTACGTCGAGGACACCAGAACTGCACACAATACTCCAGGTGAGGTCTCACGATAGCAGAGTAGAGGGGCAGGATCACCTCCTTCGACTTGCTGGTCACTCTCCTTTTGATGCAGACCAGGATACAGTTGGCTTTCTGGGCTGCAAGTCCACACTGCTGCCTCATGCTAAGCCTCTCATTGAAATAAAAAGAATGATCCTTCCACAAGTTGGTCTAATGGTGTGCGGTAAGGAAGCCCAATTTCTGATGGTGTTTAATGGCCCCCTCTTAAAACATAGGTAGCTCACAGAATCTTTAACAATACCTTGTGAAAAGATAATCGTGTCAGGAGCCATGTATATTCCCATAGGCCCAGGGCAAGCGTGTGGCTGTTGCATCTGCATGTCCAAGCTTTGATAGTCCCTGGGGGAACGGGACAGAATTCGTATTTCTGTCTGGCAAATGCTCTCTTCTGAAAATGAGAAAAGCAGCCTTTTCTTGCCCACCATCACCAACAATTATACTCCTGCCTCTTTATTTGTCAGCACTAATAATGGCACTGTCGTGGCTCTGGAAAAAGCAGTAAAGATGAGGAAAGATGCGCCACCAGTCTGCTGCAGACAGCTACTGAACTACCTCTAGTCCTTGTTAGTCAAATTTATGTTATCTTAATCTCAGTGCCCAATCTGACAACAAGGGATTGTATCACATGCAGCAAAAATAAGGGAAAATTTTTCCATCATCACAGTCGTTAGGATAATGCTAGCAGCAAGAAAGCAACTAAATGAAATTAAAAAATTACAACATCTAACAAGTGGTTAATGGCAATAATTATTTTGGGCCAGTATCTGAATTTGCCTCTTCCTGTCTGAGGTTGTTAATTACACAAGTCATTCTGTTCATCTGAGTAGGATGATTTTTAATGAAGTCTGGTTTCTTAGTGGGAGTGAGTGGTTTACAAACCACAGATGAGACAAAAGGATTCCTCCAATCAGCAGCTTGCTGTGGTGCCCTGGTAGAGTATTTGCACAAACAATATACTACAGAGCAAGGCTGAAAACAGCAGGTAACCACCCAGCTTTTATCCATTAAGCATCCCCTGTTTCCTGTACTGTGGACTAGGAAGCAATACTTCTTTATGTTTTTGTTTTTTTTTTAAAGGAGAAAAACAGCAACCAAATCATTTCATTTGATGCCTCCTAGGTTCACCTAATGAAAGGCAGACAAAACGTAGGCCTTGCTGAATTTCTGTGGCACTTGCAGAACTGTAGAAGTCAATTACAGCTCCTCTTCCCCTGTAACTTCTACCCATACCTCCCATTGATCTTTTTACGATGAGTTTAAAAGTCTTAGCCTATTTAGTCTTTGCTCACACAGATATATGCCACACTTTTGGCTACCCTTGTCATACTTGTCTATACTTTCTTCCCTCAACATGTTAACACTTGAAGACCAGAACTGTATGCAGTGCTCATTATATAGTAGCATCATCTATCAGCACCAATTTTGTCTGCTATTTTCTCAGTCTTCTGCTTTATTCAAGCAGGTGAGGAGAGTTCAAGTGGTTTAAATGGTCGTATTTATGTCTCTCAAATATTTATTGCTGATGAAGTCTAAAAGCATGTGTTTTAGATGAGATCCTGCATTACACTTCTTTCTCCTTACTAGAGGAATCATTAAGAAACCAACTGATGACTGAACTTACACCGTTTATATCTTTTCTGTGTACAGGGTAGTGATGAACTGCAGTGAAGCACCTGGAAGAGTGCCGCACACACTGCAGGCACTAATGCTGTTTATCTGCTCTTTGCAGCCTGCACCATGCTCAAGGTGACTCTCACATATAAATTATATGCATAAATATTACACTAACCACCATGAGTCAAGATATTCATAGTACATTTCTTAGGCAAAGCAGCAGCACAACGCAATGCATTACACAAGTACTGACATCAAAAGAGTCTTGGGGTTCTTACCTACAGTGAGTGCTTAGCTGAGGCGCACTCCTGACAGGAAGCATCACTCAGCTTCTCACAGAAGATGGTTAGGTGCTTGCTTCAGAAACTGGAATGTCTTTCTTCACAAAATATATCAGTGATATATTTTATATTCTTGTGGCATGATTCCAGTATTTGAACAGAAAGGATTGATGCTGTTCACGGTGAGGCCAATTAATATTCTGCTACTGGATTCAGAGAAGACAGAGTGCTGTTTCTTGTACTTTTCTCTAAAGCATAAATAAAACTGATTTTTTAAATGAAACATATTTTCCACAAGTATTAGGGTGTGCTATTAGACACTCAGACACAGATCACTCCTTGTGTAAGGTAAGGTACCTGGCAGAGTCTACAGCTACTGCTGTTCTGTAGTTCTGTCTTTCACTGTCTCCAAAACTCTCAGACAAAGGCTGTACATGACTCAGTGTCCTTCCACACTAGGCAGGCTTTGCAGGGTATGCCTGGTTGGGGATTTTATCTGCTCCTCTTGTTTCAGCTTTCTTGGGTCTTCCTGCTTGCCATTTCTGTGTAGTGACAAGTTATCACCCAGTAACTGAAAAAAAAAAAAATTTACTCTGTTGCTAAATGCAGCTTGACTCCACTCAGTGACCCTGTTTGTTAGAAAAACTCAAGTCTCTGAAAGTACACTCCACAGTAACCTTGTAGACAACTGTAGCAAATATAAGCAGTTTGAACTCTGAAGTCATCATAATCCACTGTCATAATTATGTGAAATGAATAAATGAAACTGAATTAAGTGATGGTCTTCGACCAGGTGCCAAAGAAAGCTTGCTGCACCAATGGTTAGCAAAAGGATTCAAAAGTGAGCCAATCGGTTCTCCCTTCTCAACAAATTCATTAATTAAAATATTCCACTGTCCTGGGTTTAGCAGTGGCAGTCATTTTTCTCTTTCTTGGTAGCTGGTGCAGTGCTGTGTTTTGACTTTCAGCTGGGAACAGAGCTGAAAAACACTGATGTTTTGGTTTGGCCAAGGACTTTGTGGGCCTCATGCTCTGCCAGGGAGGAGGGGAGCCGGGAGGAAGCAGAGACAGGACACCTGACCCAAACTGACCAAAGAGGTATTCCATACCACAGCACGTCATGCCCAGGATGTAACTGGGAGTTACCCGGAAGGGCTAGGTGGACTGCAGGGTTGGAGGAGGTATGGGTCGGTGCTTGATCGGGCTGGGGGGGGCAAGTTATCGGTCACCTGGTGATGGGGTGTTGTATTCTCTTCCCTTGTTATTTCCTTTATCATTACTATTATTGGTGGTAGCAGTAGTGATTTGTGTTATACCTTAGTTACTAAACTGTTCTTATCTCAACCCGTGGGAGTTGCATTTCTTTTTGATTCTCCTCTCCGTTCCCCCAGGAGTAGGGGGAGGGCAAGAAGGGGGGGAGTGGGTAACAAGCTGTCTGGCTGTGGGTTAAACCACGACAGTTCTTTTTGGCGCCCAACGTGGGGCACGAGGGGTTGAGATAACGACAGATCTGACCATCACAATGCTGATTTATTGGATCTCAGAGTTGTTCCTCTTGATCTCACAGTTTCAGAATGTTGTAACTTACTTAGAGCCGGTATTTGCTGTATTAGTGTTTATCAAGTGTGGGGCTTGGGCTAAGGTTCTTGTCTCACTGTACTTTATGGCAATGACTTGTAATACGGGCGAGCTCCAGCAGCAGGGCGGGACGGACGTGGCCGTGGACTGGTACCTGGCCCTCCGGCTGCTCCTCACCGTCCTGGCCCTCGCCCTCGCCTCCGTCTGCGTGAGGCCCTGGGGAGCCGAGGGGGGGCGGCCCCGGGAGCCGGCGGCTGCTGAAGCGGCCCGGGAGAGCGGCCCCGGGGACCAAGCGGGAGCGGGACCGGAGGCCGCGAGGGGACGGCTGCCGGTGGAGGAGGTCGGGGCGGTCGAGGAGCGGGAGCAGGCGGCTGCCGAGCAGCGGGAGAAGGCGGCGGAGGAGCCGAGCCCCGCGGAGGAGCCGAGCCCCGCGGCCGAGCCCAGCCCCGCGACGGCCGAGAGCATTCCCCGGAAGCCGCCCGCCGAGCCCCAGGAGGATGCAGGAGACCCCGCAGCATTTCCCAGCAAGGCAGAGGAGGAAGAGCTGGACTCAGGAAAAGAGAAGCTGGTGGTGGGAGAGCCGGCAAGCACAGCAGCTACACCAGCCCCAGTGACAAGTACAGCAGCATCGTTTGAGAGTTCTGGTTTTGAATGTCCTTTGGGTACCCTTGGGACCTGCCTGCTGATTGTGATGGTGTTCACTATGTTGGCACACACGCAGAGTGTGTTTTACCCACCACCATTGTGTCTGATCCCAAAATTTAAGCAGAGTCGGGTTTGGGTCTTGTCTGGGGTTAGACAACAATATGGGAGGACCAAGAGGTTTTCCCCAAGGCTGGACAGTCATGAGTGGCAGGGCATGTGGGACAGTATGGGCAAGTATCTAGTCCACTGGGCCCCTCCAGTGCTTTGGAAACATTGGAGATGGAAGGACAATGAATTATTTTGAACCTGATGGGACCATGACCCTTAAGGCCAACAGAGCAGAGATGCAACATCGAGATGGACTCATGATCAAGGGGTGGACCTAACAATGGACACTACTGCCCAGGTTATTCATGTGTGTGAACACTGCACACAGCCTCTCCTGCTCTGAAAGACTGTTACAAGAGATGGAGCCTGGCATCATGGACCAGATGGACTCAGCAGCTTTATAGGGACTGGGCCATGCACTACGATGAGAGTGCACTTAGATAAGAGTGAGGGTATATTGAAAATGTGGGATCTGAGCATGACGTGAATGGTATGGAATAAGGGGTGGATAATGTCCTGGGTTTAGCAGTGGCAGTCATGCCCAGGATGTAACTGGGAGTTACCCGGGGAGGGCTAGGTGGACTGCAGGGTTGGAGGAGGTATGGGTCGGTGCTTGATCGGGCTGGGGGGGGCAAGTTATCGGTCACCTGGTGATGGGGTGTTGTATTCTCTTCCCTTGTTATTTCCTTTATCATTACTATTATTGGTGGCAGCAGTAGTGATTTGTGTTATACCTTAGTTAGTAAACTGTTCTTATCTCAACCCGTGGGAGTTGCATTTCTTTTTGATTCTCCTCTCCGTTCCCCCAGGAGTAGGGGGAGGGCAAGAAGGGGGGGAGTGGGTAACAAGCTGTCTGGCTGTGGGTTAAACCATGACATGGTTTGTCTTTCCCAGAAAGTCCTTGATTTCTCATTTTCATCCACAATTTCCCCCTCTTCTTTTCTACCTTATATAGCTTGGATTCAAATTCTCTCCAGAAAATGTGAATGAACTAGTAACTGCTATTTCTTCTAGCACTATCATGTCCCTTCAAAGCCTTCTTGATTTCTACCCTGCCCTGCACAGAGTATGAACAACACCTGCAGGATCACTTACAGGCCTTCCAAGGAGTGGTCTTTATCTGTCCTCAGCAACCAGCACCACGTTCAACTGCGGTAGTTCCACCACCTAGGTTTGAAAGACAGCATATCTGGAGACACACAAGAGACCTCAGCTTTCCTTTTTTTCATTCTAAAGTACTTCTGCCTTTCCCATAAGCAAAACTCAATCCCTACACCAAATACGTATAAATGCATAACATACATAGAAAAATCTGTCAATAAACTATTTTATGCTTCTTAGTAGTTGTTAACAGCTAGAAATAAAGAGGAGGAAACAAATACTGTTGGAATGCAAGAGACAATCAGGCCATGAGGAAAGAATTGCTGTGTTTTGTCTATTTTAAGTGAAAAATAAATAAATTGTAAGAGGGCCTGTGTACATGGTGAACACAAATGCCTGCTGACCTGTCAAGAGAAGAAAAGGGTGCTTACACAGCAAGACACATCTTACCTTATTTGTATGCATGGCCAAGCCACAGAGGAATAATTTGCCAAGGATGATATGCAAGATTTGTCCCACTTGGTGTCTTTTCTATTATAAATGCCAAAGATGCATCAATCTCGACTGCTTTTCACTCTTTATTTCCCAAGAAAGCACTTTCAAGAAAGAAGATGAAACAACCGTGAAAAACGTGCCATTTGTTTCTGTTAGTGAGAGAACACCCACCACTCACAGGTACAGCAAATGTCTGTGCTCTCATTCAGTGCTATACTGAGCCTGTATTTCTCCCAGTTTATAACTCTGCACACAATGCTAGACTAAAGAAACATATTTCCCACTCCCCTCCCAGAAACAAATACCAGCTGGCATACATAGAAAAATACATAGCGATACTTCATGCTTTCCACTATTTAAATGACACATCTATCTTCATTTAAAAACTAGAGCCTCACCATCCCCAAAACCTTACAGCTAGACATGCTCTTATACTTTTAAACACAGCAAAACTACCTGCATTTTCTTCTGACAGATGATCATGGACATTACTGTTGAAAATTATTTTCTAATTTTCCAGATTTTAGGTCTACAAGACTGTACTGGGGAAAGAGGGGCTACCTCTTTCTTAGCCTACCTTTCTAAACTGAGCACAAGGCTGCCTCACCTTTCCAGCTAAGCTGCTGGACTGGCAAATGTCATTGGTACTGCCCTCTTGGTAGAGCTGGTGTTTTGGAACAAAAGCAGTATAGGATTGTCTTTAATTAAAATGCAATAAAGTGTCTTAAAGTTTGTAATAAGAAAGTTCTGTCACTTGGTTGTGTACCTAAATTTTTTACATCAATGTCATATTTAGAAAATGCCATGAAAGAGTGACTCTCCAGTTTTGCCAAGCATGTAGTTAGAAGCAATCACCATTTTGCGTTTCAGAAACTCACAGGTTCTCTGCTGCTTTCCATCACTGTTTTGTTAAATGTCATTCCACTAGCTGTCAAGCACTTTGCTTTTTTAAAAAACGAGGCAAATTACTAAGGAGCCTTAACAAGATCTTCAGGATAGGATCTTCTGTCAGTCTTTTAGGGTTTTTTAAAATATCAGGAGCTGTTGTAATTCACTGCATTTTCGATGGAAGTGCTTGTTTTCTCAGCTATACCTGTAAAAATTCTAAACTTACCTCAATTCCAGGGTAAAATGTGTTAAAAGTGTCTCAGCACCACATATTACAAATGTTTAGAACATAAGAAGGTGAGAGTGAGATTTGTTGAAAAACATTTATGAACTTGAAATTTGAAGCACAGCAGTGCAACTAGAAACTCATAAATTTAGGAAAACATACCGGAATTTTCCAGTTAGCTTGCAAGTAATTAAAAATCACTAAAATCAAATTCAAAAGTTTACGGTGCTAATCATCCCTAACCTAGGGGAAGTTTGCCAGCTGGACCAACCTTCGAGAAACTGCGAGCACATGGGCAATATCTTTCCTCAGAATTCTGGATTTTAATCAAAAACATTTCTCAGATCACAGCTTAAAGGAAGGGAAGGGCAGGAACACAGGTAACTTCATGGCACAGGAAGGGCCAGTTTAACCACTGCTGTGTCCACAGAGCTATGCTCCAGATGGCTGTTGCACTGACAGCATTTCTGAAGAAACTGCACTTAGTCCCCCTTGGATGAAAGTTCTCCTAAACCATGTAATTAAACTATTAAAGGAAAGAAAGTACAAGATCTAAAAGAATCATTTTCAGAAACTGCTTCTGTCTTTGCAACTCATACAATGTGAGCATTAATGAGTATATATGTATTAATATACTTTTTTGCTGCAAATCAGCAACACCTCTGTATAACCCGTATAAGTCTGTAACTACCTTCCCATGAAGAACATTCAGCATATTAAAGGTACTTCTACACCTAATAAACTCCAGTAATGTAATTATGCTCCTGATCTAGTAAGCATGCAAAAGCATAGGTAGGAAAACTAGTGAATATATACTCAAGGCCAGAAGAACCTGCAAGAAAACCTCAGCATTTGGACTGTATTGCAAAATGAATCACAGTACAAATTATTTTCCTTCAAAGAAAGTAAATTATAAGTGATAGTGTAGCAGTATATTGTGCTCTGGCATGTAGCTCCTTGCCCCATTAATATGCATGTATCACTAGAAGAACAGAACTCACAATTCTTTGAAATTTATGTAAGGAAAACATTGATTGCACTAAAAATAGTAATGAAAAATGACACCTATATTATTTTATTAATTGATTTTTAATGTCCAACAGAATGCAGTTCCAAAACTGCAAGATTGCTGGATTGCTATCTCCCTTAATTTCTTTTTAATAGATTAAAAAAGATCACTTTGCCAGAGATATCATTATAGGTACAGGGAAGGCATTTGATTTATAATGTTTCTAAATGGATGGCACTGTGATGAATTATCACTTCAGAAGATCGGTAGCTTATTGGGTTGTGGGCTTTCTTGCCTACTTATTCATTTTAAAGCTATGATTCCAAGAAACTCCTTGTCAATGTTGCTGCTTTAAAAAGAAAGGTGATATGTGGCAATACAGAAAATCATGGTTATGTCTTTGTCAGCAGGGGTAAAAGGGCAAAATATGGCTCATATTTTCCTTGTGAGGAAGCAACGTCTCTCATTGCAAGGTTTCAGCTCCCAACGGGTAGGTGTATGAGGGCAGTCCTTAATCCTCGACAATACGATGTATTTAGGGCAAGGGAGGAATTGCATTTTAAAATGAGGGTGATACAAGGATATGAGTAATAAGAGGTGATGCATGTTGTTAATATTAATTTAAAAAAAAACATTAAAGATCTTACATGTATGTGCAGAAACATGTGGGCATGTTTTTATGTGCATAGGTCTGAGTAGGCACATTTTGAGGAGAAATAAGTGGAAAGGACTTCAACCATCCTGAGAAATTCTTCTTTAGAAACCTCATCCGCTCCTGAAGTTTCTGTACGCTCAAAAAAAGAGATTTCAAAGCTTTCTGAAGCAGATATTCCGGTATTTTTGTGCAGAAGTATGTGCTAACACACATGGAGATCTTATCTTCAACTTTGTAGGAAGAAATATTTCAAACAAATCTAGAACTTTGTTATTTAAAACCATTCTATTAAAAGGTTGATAAAAGACTGCCACTTTTCAAGCTGGCAGTATTCTTTTGAAATGAATTTTTAATATCTATAATGGCATGTTTTCCTATGGATTAATAAAACCATAACTAAGGGAAACCATCACTATCAACATGAGTCTGGGCATCAAATAGCTAATTAATAGCAGCTTGCTCTTCTCTTGAATACAGGGTTTTTTAAAGATCTTCGTAATTGAATGTCATGCATAATATTATGCAAAACATCATGCTTTTTTACAAAATCAGCAGGAGTCGAGTGCCATTGGAAAGGTTGTGACAGTACAGGGCTTGAGAAGCTATAATGGTTACCCATTGAAAGTCTACAAATGCAAATCACAGTAGGACTCAAAATGGAGCCTTGGGGAATCAGAGAATAACTGAAGCCCAGGTGGACTGAAAAATCCTCTGGAGCAACAAATTCAATATGCCAGGATAAAAAAAAATATATATATAAATTAGACTGGAAACAAATGAAGATTTGCAAGAAGATTGGCAAACGCAGTAGCAAATGCTATGCTCAGCGATGAAAACGAAAATAAAAATGTGTGTACTGTGATGAGAATGGAGACCTGAATTAACATTCATCTGATTGCCTTCTCACAAATTAAAACTAGGACACTGGCATCTTCAAAAATACATGTTAACAAAACTTCAGTCTCCTGTTGTCCATGTACAAGTAAGCTTTCTATGTGTCTTCTTAATGAAATATGTGTAATAACCACTTACCAATCAGTTTCCAATTAAAATACTATTTAGAAAATGATCCTGATACCTGAATTTCCATGTGAGGCCTTGGCATAAAATTTTATGAGCTCTTTAGCCATCCATAAGATATTCTACTGTCAGGTCTAGGGGTGTGCTAAGGAGATGGCTCTTGATGCCGTTTTAATTCAGGCTGCTGGTTTCCACCCAAGCCAAGGTGAAGGAGACTGGTATGAACATTTCCATATACAGCACACTTAAAATTAATCCACAAGATGTCACTGTTGCTCCAGAGAAATTTATAGAATCCGAACCATAGAATCATAGAATAGTTAGGGTTGGAAAGGACCTTAAGATCACAGTATCACAGTATCACAGTATGTTAGAGATTGGAAGGGACCTCAAAAGATCATCTAGTCCAATCCCCCTGCCGGAGCAGGAACACCTAGATAAGGTTACACAGGAACGTGTCCAGGTGGGCTTTGAATGTCTCCAAAGAAGGAGATTCCACAACCTCCCTGGGCAGCCTGTTCCAGTGTTCCGTCACCCTCCAATTTGTACCCATTACCCCTTGTCCTTTCATTGTTTGCCACTGAGAAGAGCCTGGCTCCATCCTCGTGACACTCCCCCTTTATATATTTATATACACTAATAAGGTCACCCCTTAATCTCCTCTTCTCCAAACTATAGAGACCCAGCTCCCTCAGTCTTTCCTCATAAGGGAGATGCTCCACTCCCTTAATCATCTTAGTTGCCCTGCGCTGGACTCTCTCCAGCAGGTCCCTGTCCTTCTTAAACTGAGGGGCCCAGAACTGGACACAATATTCCAGATGAGGTCTCACCAGGGCAGAGTAGAGGGGAAGGAGGACCTCTCTCGACCTACTAACCACCCCCCTTCTAATACACCCCAGGATGCCATTGGCCTTCTTGGCCACAAGGGCACAGTGTCGGCTCATGGTCACCCTGTCGTCCACCAGGACCCCCAGGTCCCTCTCCCCTACACTGCTCTCTAACAGGTCGTTCCCCAGCCTATACTGGAACCTGGGGTTGTTCCTGCCCAGATGCAGGACTCTACACTTTCCCTTGTTATATTTCATCAAGTTATTCCCTGCCCAGCTCTCCAGCCTGTCCAGGTCCCTCTGGATGGCAGCACAGCCTTCTGGCGTGTCGGCCACCCCTCCCAGCTTAGTGTCATCAGCAAACTTGCTGATAGTACACTCAATTCCCTCATCTAAATCGTTGATGAATATATTAAATAATACTGGTCCCAGTACCGACCCTTGAGGCACTCCACTAGATACAGGCCTCCAACTAG